GAGGGCCCAAAATTACTTAAGGGCAGATCATCTAGAATGTTGCTGACACTGACCTTGGAAAGAGCCTTGTGGATAGGAGAATTAAGAGTCAGGAGTAATGAATAAAGGAGGCAAGCAGCGTAAAAAAGGAAGCCCTCAAAAGCAGAGTGGTCCACATGATATGAAAGACAAACCATGAGGGCCTGTCAGAGTGCTGCGGATAATACTGGGTTGCAATTGGCCACCAACGAGAACAGAGCCAGTGGTGAAAGCTTGCTGGAGGTTCAGGACAGATTCCGTAAGCCATTCTATCTCTTAGTAGTTACTTGTCCCCTTACTAGATTCAGTGGATAATGCAAGCTATTTACATTATTTCAATTTAGGTTTTATTTGTCAATTTAAAAAAAATGTTGCCCAGCACAAATTCTAAGCTGCATGTCATTTTAATTAGTGATCATATATTTAGATAAAAGGGCGAGCATTGTTGTTGTTGTTGTTGTTTTTTAAATGGCCTAGATGTGGGGACAGCTCTACCCTAGGGGAAGATTAAAGGGACTAGACTGAAGGGACTAGTATTGAACTGTTAGAAGTCTGACAAGAAATTACAAAACCCACAAACCCTGTGGTTTGTTTTTTTAACCCCCAAGCTGTTGATAACCACAGTCAAGAATTTTCTTTTCCCTGTGGGCAATTGGTTTGGAGACAAAGTCATGGCCCCGACAAGGGAAGAGGACTGAACTGCTTGGGAGAGCAAAGCCATAGCTCTAAACAGGAGTAAGCTTCTTGGGAAGTTCCACCCACAGGAAGGGGAAGGATCAAGTTATACAGGCATGCTCAGACAGGCTCAGGGGATGACTTGGTAGCTCAGCCTATTTTGATCAGCAGCAGCACCACGGGGTGGATTACATTCTTACCACCTTATCACTTCCCTCCACTATTTAGAAATAAGTGAAATTTTTCAAGGCACTGTTGTTGATACACAGTATAGCAACTGATCAAGAGGCATGAATACCTTCCACACCCATGATCAGCAGTCTGATCTGAAGCCCTTCCACTCTACCCAGAATTAATAATGTTAGATTTTCTTACAATTTAGGAACTACTGCATCTTGTATTCCATTTTTTCCCTTGTTTAAATGGTTGTGGACATGGTTCTATTGTCTTGGGAATTCTGGTGGGATATGCAAGTTAGAGGCAGGAAATATGAAAGTTAGGAATCTAATTTTCAAGGATAGGATGTATATGATGGTATTCAAATGCTGGTCAACAAGAAATTTATTCTTTCTTCATGACTCTTTAGGTTTTAAATCCTCTGGAGTTTCCTAAAATTATCCCTTAAATTGTAGGTCCTTGACAGAAGTTTCTAGAAGTCATAGAATTTCAGTAGAATATTCTGTTTGAACACCAGAGTTACTTGCCCAAGGCCATACACAAGGCAGTGGGAGGTTACACATTATTCTTATAAAATTCAGCAGGTAGGACATATAATCCTTTTATAGATGTGAAGTAACAGCAATTACATTGTTTCTTGATGAACACACTTTAACTCTGCCTACCCTATGATTAACAGCAGTTAATCAAATACTTGAACCTTGAGTATCTTATGGAGATACCACCAAAATTAGGCAATTATAAAGCATAACCTGTCCATGATGACCTCATAGAGTTGGTGACTTTGGCTGGTGGGTCACTGCTACTGGAGATCTTTTATAATCTAGTGATTCAGTTTAGAGGTTTAGGGGTGCTGGGACCCCAAAATCACAACATGCCTGAAAGAATTAGACCCAAGCCTTCTTTCAGCCAAAGACAAAGTTTATTAGAACATCCATCATATTGGGCAGACTCTTAAGGAATCTGAACATGGGTAAACAGTGGCTAAATTATAAGAATCTCAGCTGTGGCTAGATTTTAGGAATCTGAGTAGTGGCTAGATTATAAGAATTCCAGCAGTGGCTAGATTATAAGAATGAGAGCATCTTAATGGAGACAAGGTGGACCTTATATACAGAAAGACTGTGGGAGGGACCTAGGAGTGGCCAGTAAACTGGAGTGAATAGAACTCTTGAGACTTAGACCTCGTGGCTGAGGGAGAATGGAGCCTAGCTAGGATTAAGGGTGGGAAATGGCCAGGGGCCATACATAGGGAGGTAAAACAAAGGAAGGCCAGGCTATGTTAAAGGTAACAGAATTGGGAGATTGGGTGTAGCCACAATAACAGGTCAATTGATGGGATTATAGCCTCAGGCAAATGCCAGAGATTTGGCCAAGTGAGAAAGTCCAGGGTTTTTCCTTTCTGGGGTCTAGATCCCAAACCCATCACTAAGATCTCCAAGATCTCAAATTCTATTGCTTCATTCACTTACAACCAAAGGTAAAGCATGAGTATGTTGGGAATTCTGGTGAAGTGCACAAACTAGAAGTTGGAGAGATTGAAGATAGGGTAAATCTCTCAGGTCCAGCATAGGGATTGAATGTAAGTGGATTCAGTTGCTGGTCTACCAAGAATAATTAGTAATGATCAGTTATTCAGGGGCCCAAGTGGCCTCTGGGCTGGTAAATCAGAATGATCTAGTCAGACTGGACCTGAAATAGCATAATCACAAAACTGTCCTAACCTATACACTTCAGATTGTTCCAGGTTCTTCCTGTTGTTCAATATTCCAATTGCATCCATCTTCTACGCTGTTATCCTAACACCTTAGTTCCCTAAGATCTGACCCCTAGACTCTGGTTCACTCAGACCAAACACGAATTTTTCTATATTCTTCAGAGGTGCTTTACTCAAACATGAACCAGCTGTAATCAGCAGATGCGTAGCGTTGGATCAATAAAATAAGTCAATGATGTCCAGATACATTGTTATTTCCTGGTCAGGTCAGGTAGGTAATGGCATAAATATGAAGCACTGGAATGTGCCAAGTTCATTATAGAGCAAAAATGGCAGTAGAAGGTGATTAAACTAGTTACGGCAAGTCTGGAATGTAGTCTTTGGTTTGCTACCCTGCCATGTGCAAGCCAAATTATAGCAATTTGTTGGAGCAGCTAGGTGGTGCAGTGGATAGAGCACTGGCCCTGGAGTCAGGAGTACCAGAGTTCAAATCCAGCCTCAGACACTTAACAGTTACTAGCTGTGTGACCCCGGGCAAGTCACTTAACCCCAATTGCCTCATCAAAAAAAAAATTATAGCAATTTGTTGCTGTTGTTTCTAAAGTATGGCCTGCCCTAGCTGGTCCACCAGATTGGAAATCAGTTTTAAATTTTAATTGTGTAAAAGCCCTGAAAATGATTAAGAAAACCCAAATTCCCCATTTTTCCACTTCACAAATATTATAAAACTTAGCCAGGTGAGGTGAAAAGTTTACCTAAATCTCTGGAGTTTAGTGAAAAATTCCAACAGGATATCTGAATTGGGTCATAAGTACAAGAGCTCTTTCAATTTGGATTTCTAGAACTGAGTCTACATATATGAACAGGGTTGCAAAATGCAAGGGCCGATTATGTCTATAAATATCTAGTATTTTTAGAGAGAGCTGGATGGGCATCAATCAAAGGAACTCTATTATAGTTTATAGGGATTGTGCCATAGCAGTGCTGGCTGCAGAATTCTAAGCTAAAAGTAACCTGCCAAGTTCTCCCAAAAATATATAACTTAATCAACTATAGCCACCAGATTCTGAGCTTCATCAGACACTAAAGAGAGCTCATTAGGTTTAGGATCAGCATTTCTTTGTGTTCTCCCCTTTGGACCTTCAGCTGTTTTTCTCTGTGATTAGGCCAGTCAGTCACCAAGCATTTAAATGTGTCAGGCACTAGGAAAACCAGAAGAGTCACCCATTTATCCCAAGCCTTGTTTTAAGTTTACCTTGGGGTTGGCTCAGGATTCCCTACCATTGGACTAAGGTCCCTGAATTTGCTTTAAGATCTTAAATTAGCATCTGTAGCTAGTGTAGCTGGGTAACCTAGTTTTGGGGGAATATTTACTTGACTGGTAAACGTGACTGATTAAGCACATGTAAGAACAGAGGTTTGGGTGAGATCCTTTACAATAAAGCACTTCCACTGACCTCCCGTTCCTAGTCTTATGGGCCCTAGAATAAGAAGATGGGCTGCATCCAACAGAATGAGAATCATCTCCCTTCTAGTTTATTTTTCTACTTCATACAACTCAATTGGCTAGGGAATTTGGAACTACATTTCCAAATTCAGTATTGGTAGAGGAAAGTCTTGTACCCTGGACATAAGAAGTGACATAGGGCTAAAGGTAAAAGCAGGTTTCTCTCTATGAGCAGGCCTTGGAGAATTGTGGCTCTCTAGTAAAGGCAAATTTGTCTGAATTGAGTTCTTTAATAAGCCTTCCCTAATTTGGTCCATTGTAGTATCTTCATTATACTCAAAGTCTTGGCTCACTATCCTGAAAGCAACAGCATATTCCATCTACAATCCAACCTCAGACATTTATGAAAATTGTCAGTCTTAAGTCTCAAAGTGACTTTGTATATTGAATTTCTGCCATAAAACAATGAAGGTGTGCCACCAGGTAGCTGGCTGGTATCATCAATGATATCATTTAGCAGTTCATATGAGTGAACAACCTAAATAGCAGAAATCCCATCCTTGGGTGATCCATGAAGAAAGCCCATAAGCTGGTTTTCAGATATAAATTCATCAAAGTTGGAAACCCAGAAATTTCATACAAGCACTCTGAAAATTCATCTAAGAAACTTACAGGGTTGGGAGAACTGTTCCAACTGCTGCCACAACTGAGTATCTTCCTTCAGCATTATCACCTTCCCTTACAAGCTGCCATTTTCTAATTATATTCAATCCACCTGTGCCTGAAGTGTGGTGATATATTTAATTCATTTCTCTGTATCTCCTGATAGTCCTAGGATTAGCAGCATGTTCCTTCCATCCCACTAAGGAGGATGGGGAAGTGAGATGGATAAAGAAAAAAAGGTTATCACAGCCCAAAAGGAATAACAACACTCCAAAGAGGGAAAGTATGCAAACAAACCAAGGCTGGTATATAAACAATATAAACATATAATTAAAATCAGCAAATAATACTCAGCATTAACATGGGGAAATGAACTAAACTATTCCAGTTGCATCAAACCCACACAAATGTACCACATATACAACAAAACCGGAGGGGTGTGGGGGGAGAGAGAAGGAGTTGGAAGGAAAAAAGCAATTTCTGTAGGGTTCACACACAACCACAATAAGCACTGTTTTTGTTTCTTTTTTTATAGCTGTTCTGTTTGTGAGCTGCCTTTAATCATGCCCATCCATTCATTCCAATGGTGAAACACGACAAGGAAAACAATGAAAGTTAACTGGTAACAAGATGGTACCTCAAATTACAGAAAAGCATCTTGCTTTCAAATTATAATAACTAATTTGATCTCAAATGCCAGGGGTGGGAAGGGACCTATGATTTCATCAATGTAAGATACTCGCCAGGAGAGATTTCTTCTACCACAGTTACCTAAGGCACTGAGAAGCTAAGTAATTTGCCCAGGGTTACACAGCCGCATATGCTGGAGGCATGAGTTTAATTCAGATTTCCCTGACTTTGATGGAAACTCTTTCCATTATGCCATGCTTTCATATAAATCTCTATGCTTGTTAAAAGGAAAACAAAATTACAATGAATAAAAAGGGATACAAAAATAAGTTTCTGGATTAGTTTCTCAAAAAGCCATCAAAATCCCCTTAAGTTTCCCAAAAATCTTTTAGAAGTACCTGTGAAAATATCCCCAAAAGAAGTCCTTCTGAATTTCATGACCCTAGGGAAAGTGTTTCTTCACCTTCTGACTTACTGCCATATAAAATAAGATAGGAATAATAAAGAAACCAGAGAGACAGTAAGAAGTAGTAAACACAGTGGCTGGCCTTGGAGTCCAGAAGACTTAAATTCATGACCTGCCTCTGGAACATACTAGCTATGGGACCACAGACAAGTCACTTAATCTCTCAATTTCCCAGGTACCTCTCTATAACTCCAAGTTAAAAACAAGTTGTTAATCTGCATCATCAGTGTTAGATTCTATACAAGAGTTCTCTACATTAATGAAATCAAAGGTCTGAACAAGAAAATTTTCATATGAAATACAATTTTAGATGATACATTACTAAGTTGCCCTATTTAACAACCTATATACACTTTAGAAAACTTGATTTCATGCATCTATAACATTTATAATTGATTAAATATAGTATTTGAAATCACTTCTATAAAAAAAACTTTGGACAACAGTCACCTTCAGAATCTTGATTCCCAACCCTACATTATAACATTCCTCTCATGTGATAATACTAAACTTAAATAATTTCAATTTTCCAGTAAGGGAACCTGCCACAAATGTAAGAAGAGACTGTTCATTTCCCTTGCTCCAAAAAGTTTTAAGTCCCATTGTTTTCTTTGTTTCAAAAGCTTTAGTTGCTTTAGCAATCAGATTCCTGTATTTTCCAGAAATCTTGGACTTAAATGATTGTTCTGAGTAAACAGACCAGCACAATCAGATTTGCAAAATTCCATCACTAGCTGGTAGCAGCTAATTTTTTTTAAGGGATAAACTAAAAAAGGGAAAAAAATACTTTATCTTTCAAGTACATCAATATTTCAAAGATCCATGACTCCAACAACGCAGTCTGCAATACTTCTACACTTAGTCTTCATGAGTTTTGTGACCAAATTAATTTTTCACCTGTAATCAACTTTCTGCTGAAGGCCTTCTTCGAACTTAAGTAGGCTGGTTGTTTAATGAAAGATAACATACCAGTGCTGAGCCCATACTTTTGAATATATCAAATAAAAACGAGAGTTGATGGGTGACAAACTGAAATCTTGACTGCAGGTCATCGAACTAAAGGATGAGTCTGAAAGATTTCCCTTCATTCAGTAACTTGACCATGGTTACTCTCCACTGTGAAAGCTCCAATGTAAGATGAGGGATAAACTACAATTGAAGACTTTTATTCATTGTATGCATAGGATTCCTCACCAGCATAAACTATCTAATGTTATGTACTCTGGTAGAAGGGTTCCAAACATTCATTGTCTTCACAAGAATTCTCTCCAATATGAACACAATAACATTTATCAAAAGTTGAGCTGATTCTGAAGCTCTTTCATATATTCAATATACTTATATTTCTCTCTAGTATAGATTTTTCTAATATAGAATAAGGTGTACTGGCTGAAAGTTTTCCCACACCCAATATTTTTATAGATGTTGTCCCTGTTATATTCAGCCAACCAACTCTAGCAAGTAAGGCTTAACAGCCAGGCTTGCATCAGCAAAAAATACTGTTCAGTGCATGGAAGAGTGAGTTAGGCACCAGAACCAGGACAAGCAATAATTAAGTAAAAGTTAAATAATCTATCACAAGGTAAAACAAGAGGAACAGAGGAGTCACACCACACAGAGACAACAAAAGTTGAAGTCAAGGATTCAGGTAGTGTTAAATATAACTATAGGTAAGCAGGGGGAAAAAGGGGATGGGAGGCTGGGGACAAAATGTCATGAGCTGCAGTATCAAGAAAGCTAGGGAGGTCAAACCTGGAGTTTTTTACCTCAAACTGGTGTACTTTTTATGTTCTAGCATGTTATCTTCTTTTTTACGATGGGTTGGCTAATACTGGTCATATTATTTTTTTATTCCTAAAAGCACATGAATATTAGATGCCTATACTCTAACACTTGCCAAATATGAATTTTCTGATGTGACAGATCATCTCTCATAAGAAGTTTTTCCATATTCACTATATGTTTAGGGTTCCTCTCCAGTATGGATTCTCTGATGTTGAGTAAGAGATGAACTACGGTTGAAGGTTTTACCACATTCATTGCATTCATAGGGTTTCTCTCCACTATGAGTGCTTTTATGGTGAATAAGGTGGGTCCTACAGCTGAAGGCTTTCTCACATTCATTACATTTATATGGCTTCTCTCCAGTATGAATTCTTTGATGCTGAGTAAGTTCAGTACTCCGACGGAAAGTTTTCCCACATTCATTGCATTCATATGGTTTCTCTCCAGTATGGATTCGCTGATGTTGAGTAAGGTGTGTACTCCATCTGAAGGTTTTCCCACATTCATTGCATTCATAGGGTTTCTCACCAGTATGAATCCTCTGATGTTGAGTAAGATGTGCACGCTGGCTGAAAGCTTTCTCACATTCATTGCATTCATAAGGTTTCTCTCCAGTATGAATTCTTTGATGTCGATTAAGGTCTGTACTTTTTCGGAATGCTTTCCCACATTCATTACATTCATAGGGTTTCTCTCCTGTGTGAATTTTCTGATGTTCAGTAAGGTGTGTACTCCAGCTAAAAGCTTTTGAACATTCACTGCATTCATAGGGTCTCTCTCCAGTATGGATTCTCTGATGTTGGATAAGGTGTGCACGCTGGCTGAAAGCTCTCTCACATTGATTACATTCATAGGGCTTTTCTCCAGTATGAATTCTCTGATGTTGAGTAAGGTCTATAGTCCGTCTAAAAGCTTTACCACATTCATTACATTCATAGGGTCTCTCTCCAGTATGAATTCTCTGATGTTGAATAAGGTGTGCACGCTGGCTGAAAGCTTTATCACATTCATTACATTCAAAGCGTTTCTTCCCTGAACAAATTCTCTTGTGTTTAATTAGGCCAGAATTCTCTTTGAAGTTCTTTCTACACATGTCACATTTATGACAATTCTCTCCTACAGAAACTTCCTGAGAAGCAGTGGCAGAGTTCAGACTATAGCTTACTCGAAATTTATTAGATTTAGGAGGTCTTTTCTCAGTGATGTTTTTCTTCTGGGTAACTTCCACTTGTTTCACTTGCCTTTCCTGGATTCCCTGTTGACAATTTGACTGGCTATCACATTCCCAGGTTTTTCCTAATTTGGAAGACCACATACAACTCATGGTCATTCCTTCCTGGTGTGAGCTTTCTTTGGAAATGCCTTCCTTTGGAGTTGAATCTTTGGCTTCAGGCCTAGTTTCCCTGTCTGAAAGAAATGAAATGCAATAAGAATGGGAAAATGAAACTGATACAAGGCATATTTGGCTTTTTCCACTCTGTAAAATGTTCTTTAAAATTCTGGGGAGAGAAAGGGAAAGGAATAGCAATAAAGAGACAGAAGTGATTATAGGTAGGACTGATGCAATGTGAAAGTTGAACATAAAGAATGTACCATCTTTAAGCACAGTGGCTGTGGCTAGTAGGAAATATCAAGGGGGAAATCAAGACTAAAGGTGGTAGGCTGGCATCAAATTCTCAGTCCTTCATCATCTCACTGTGATACACCTACTTTGGAGTCAGACAGCTCAGTAGCCAGCTAGTTAACCCTAGAAAAATAACAGCATCTCTGTGAATTTAATAAATTTCCTGATCTGTAATAACTGTACTACTTACTTACAGATTTTACTTCACAGGGTTTTATAAGTTTTAACTAACAATCTAAAGCAGGAGTTCTTAACATGGGGTCTGTGAACTTTTAAAAAAAATTTCTTAACTATATTTCAATATAATTAGTTTCCTTTGTAATCCTATATATTTTATTTTATGCATTTAAAAACATTATTCTGAGGAGTCCAAAGGTTTCACCAGACTGCCCAAGGGACCTACAACTCAGAAAAGTTTACAAAGCTCTGATCTAAGGAAAATTCTTTGTCAAATTATAAAACACTACATAAATAAGCTATTTTATACCAGAGTCTAGTACAGTACATTACACTCAGTAAATATCCTGCCTTGGACATTTACTAACCATGATCATGGAGCAACTCACTTAATCAGTCTTCGATTCCTCATCTACAAAATGAAGGTAATTTTTGAACTGCCTCACTGGGTTGTGAAAAGGAAAATGTTCTGCAAATCTTAAAGTGCTACACAAATATAAGTTCATTATTACTAAAATCTTAATAAATGTTTGGTGATTTAAAACTCAAAAGCTTTTGGAAGTGATTATTGATAAATCAAAATAAATTAATTAAAAAAAAGAATAATGACTCCAGTAGTAGCTCTAGACACAGTGACACACTCTGCCTTTTCAGGTGGTCAAAGAGATGGAAATGGTTTCATATAACTAAATCTTTTTCTCTAAGAGTAGGGCTAGGAATTGACCAGAAGTCTTAAGTCTTGAAAAAAAGAATCATTTAAGAAGTGAGTAACAGATTGGGGCAGCTAGGTGGCGCAGCAGATAGTGAATTAAATTGTAAAATGCTTCTTTTTCTTAAATTTTTTTTATTTTTAGGCAATTGGGGTTAAGTGATTTGCCCAGGGTCACACAACTAGTAAGTGTTAAGTGTTTGGTCTGAGGCCGGATTTGAACTCAGGTCCTCCTGACTTCAGGGCTGGTGCTTTATCCACTTTGCCACCTAGCTGCCCCAAAAGCAATATTTTTTAACACAATAAGCTGTTAAGTAGCACCAGGCTCAAAATTCTGGAAGAGGTGAAATTCATCTGCTGTGCCACCTGCTGCCCCAAAGAAGCTTCTAATCAGTCTTCCTGTCACCAATCACCTTCCCCCTCCAAATAAACCTATACACTACCACTACCAAAGTAATCCTTGATAAACAACAATTTCATGTTTGTAAGAACACTCCTGTTACTCCAGTCTTCCTGTACCTACTCTAGCAGAAAGTGAGCATCGTGGGCAAGAACTTTCTCTTTGAAAGTTTTATACCCAGAACTTAGCAGTGCCTGACATACAGCAAGCATTTAATAAATGCTCACAGACTGACAAAACACAGTCAGAGCCCATCTACTGCTGTAATTATCCTGACCTCTACAAATACTTCCTATAAGGGACCACAGTCACTTAAGAAGTACAAAAGAGCCAACATACAAATCACAGTTGCCCCAGAATGAGGCTCATTTTTGCATTTTAATCAGTAGTATTTTGTTCTTGTTCTCTCATACTTCCTGGAGTAAGGACTCTCACCTACTCTAACTACTAAGAGATATTTTGGCTAAGCATTAGTACCAAAAATCCTAACCTCTATTTTAACTTTGTTTCCAAATATTTGATCAACTTCTGACTAAGCCGGGTTTGCTGGTCCTAGATGCCTATATAAATCTTAACTGGTGTGCTCCCCACTTGACCATCACTGTCAATTACCAACTGTGATCTCTGACAAAAAAAATCCAAGATCAATAATTCACATGTACATAGTTGTATTTATATAGATTTGCAAAGCACTTTATATTCCTTTTTTCACTTAATCCTCAAAATAATCCTGTGCTATTAATAACCCCATTTCACAGATGAAGAAACTGAACCTGGTCATACAACTTGTAAATCTCAGAGTAGAATTTCGGTCCAGGTCTCTCCTGATTCCCAAACCAACATTCTTTCTACTACAGCATAATGTCATGTCTCTTTGGAAAACTTTCAGTGGCTAAAAGATGATGTCCACAGTTTTCCACAAAACAAAGCCTCCAAATCCCTACTGAAATTTATATTCCATCTTCCACAAGTACTCCACACTCTAGTCAAGTTAATATCCTAATGATCCTACATATGGTCACTCCTGACTCCTTACTCGAAACATGCTCTTCCCTTCCTCTTCACCTGTTCAAATTCTAAATATCCTTTGGTGTTCAACTTATGTTCTACTAATTCAACAACATCAACAAAAAAACTCTATGCCCAATTTAGTCCATGGATTTCCCTTTTCTTTTAATGTTATGCCTTGTGTATGGTAGCTATATCTGTCCACATCTGATTAATTATAATAGGCTGCAAGTTTCATGAGAGCAAGGGGTAATGTAGCACAAGATTTTGAACACAGAAGACATTCAAAAATATTTCCTGAAATGATTCCTTTGAATGATTTATGTGAAGATTCCCAGATTTATATGTCCAGCCCTGGTTTCTCTCCTGAGCTCTAATACTGCATCACCAACATTTTAAGCATATTTCCCATGAGCATCTTAAACATAGCACATTCAAAATAAAATTATCTTTCAAAACCCTCAAAACCCTAAAGTCTCATATCATTGGCAAGGACATTACCATTTTCTCAGTCTTACAAGCTCCAGGTCTGTGTCATCCTTGACTCCTCACTCTCACTCAGCCCACATATCCAATTAATTAATAATTCTTTATCCCTTCTACCTTTACAATGACTCATACAGCTATCTTCATAATTCAGGTCTTCACCACCTCTGACCTATACTACTGCAATAATCTTAATTGGTCTCCTTGCATCAAGTGTCTTCCCAGTCCAATCCATTCACACAGCTACCAAAGTGATTTTCCTAAAATGTAGTTCTAACCATGCCACAATAACTTTTGATTCCATCCCAAATAAAACCAGTAGTTCCCTATTACTTCCAAAATCAAATATGAAATGCTTTGTCCACAACCTGGCCTTTCCTACCTACCTACACATCAGTCCCCTCTACACAATTTTCTGTCTAGTAATCCTGGCTTGTTTGCTATTCCTCAAACATGACACTCTATCTGTCATCTATGAGCCTCTGCAATGGCTGTTCTGCCTTTCTAACTTCTGTCTCTTAGAATCCCTGACTCCTCAGCTCACTTGTCACCTCCTCCTGGAGGCCTTTTCCAGTCTCCCCAGCTGCTAAAGCCTTTCTGTCTAAGGTAGGTTTCCATCCACTCCACATGTATTTTTACATACCTATAAAAATATACCTTATGTACATGTTTTCTCCCCAATTAGACAGGCTCCTTGAAGTCAGGAACTATTTTTGTCTACCTTTGAATCCCTACAACACAGTACAGTGCTTGGTACAAAGACAATGCTTAATAAATGCTTGCCAATTGATTACACCAACTATTTTGTCAACCAATCATATAATATTCTCTTGCACTGTTACCTAAATATTTTTATGTTTTAATATCCAATATTTAAAAATTTTATGTGTATCTGTCTTGAATTTCCAACTAGATTCTTAGTTCTTAGAAGAAAATGAATGCTTTTTAAAGACTAACATACATAAAAAAAATTAAATATAGGATATATAGTGTAAAAGATACCATATTAACATCATTTCTATGACTAGAAAAGGGAGGTGTTCAGTTATATAGTGAGAGCAAGGGATGCCAGAGAGAAAATCTGAGTGTTACAATGAAAACTATGAAATAATAAAATATCTAGGAGGCTTCCAACATAAAGGGTAGAGCCATTAACTCAACTAAGTTGACCTCTCTGAAGTTTTTGATTCTGCTGACCATCTTACCCTCCTAAAAATTCTGTTCCTTTCACTTCCATGATATTCTTTTTCCTGGCTTTCTTCCTGCCCATCTACCACTCCTTTCCTCAATCATCACTGACCCCTTAATGTGGACATTCTTCAGGGCTCTGTCCTATTCCCTCTTTTCTCTCTATATAAACTCCCCTGAAAATTTCAACCCAATGGGTTCACTTTACATATCTTGGTAAATGATCCTAAGCTATCTAACTCTATACTGAACTCCAGTTATGTTATCAACTGCCTATTTAACAACTCCTCCAAGATGTCCCATTGGAATCTCAAAATCAACTTGTCCAAAACAACCTTCTCCTCCTTCAACTTTCCTTGTTTGTGTTGAGGAGACCACTATTATCCAAATCACTCAGATTCATTATCTCAGCTGTGACTCTTTGCTCTCCCTCATCCTCTATTCTAATCAGTCGCCAAGATTTGTCAATTCTACCTACATAGCATCTCTCCACTTATATAGTTACTACCCTAGTTCAGACCCTCATCACCTCTCACCTGAACTACTGTAATAGCCTCTTAAATGGTTTCCTTGATTCCAGGTTCTCCTACCTCCAGCTTAACTTTCTCATAGTTCATAAAATAATTTACCTGAGACACAAGTATGTCCATATTACTCCTGTGCTCAAAAACATTTACTGGCTCCCCACTGTCTATGGGATAAAATACAGACTCCTTAGCCTGGCATTTAAGGATCTCTACAACCTGGCTCCAACCTACCATCCCTGCCAGATTCAGTCAGTCAATCACCAAGCATTTATTAAGCACCTACTATGTGTCAAGTATTGTCCTAAGCACAGGAGAAACCAACAAAATTAAAAACAGTCACTGTTCTAGTAGTTTAGCATGATTTCATAACATTCCTCTTCACAAATATTATATTCCAACCTGACTAGCCACTCTCTGAACTTGATAGCCCATCTCTCACCTCTTTTCATTTTCACAAGCCATCTTTCATTCCTATAATGTACTCCCTTTTCATCTGTCTCTCAAAATCTTTCTTTCAAGGTTAACCTCAGGTACTACTTCCTCTATAAAACCTTCCCTGATTCCTCCTAGTAGTTAGTACTCTCTCCTTCTTCAATTTTCCTGTACTTCATGTACATACATACTGAACCCTTTCCCCAAGATGGAATACAAAGATCCTTGAGAGCATTTTTGTTGGTATATCCTCAGCAGTGCCACTTAGCAAATAGATACGGAATTGAAATGAATCTGTGGAAGGATATGGGCAAGAATCACAAAGGTGAGAGGGCATGAATGGGTTTCAATTTGCAGGGAATGTAAGGAGTTTCCCTATCATCATAGCTCTGCCAAAAGAATTAAAGTACAGGATAAAGTCATTAGGAACTTCATACTATATCATATAGACTATAACTGGTCTAGAAGTTCAGAAAATAGAAGAGTTAGGCAAGGTTTCATGGAGGAGGTAGAACTTAGGTAGGCATTAAAGGACGGGAAGGATTTAAACAGGCAGAGAGGAAGAAGAAGAAGAAGGCATTTCAGGAAGAGTACAGAACATATTCAGAGCCACAGTTATAGAGGCATATGGCTTCTAGAGATAATACTTAATGGAATGAAGGTTGTCTGGAAAACAATAAAGCAAAATAAAATTTAAATGTGAAAACTAACAATAGGTTCAAAGATTTAGAGGTTGTAGGAAACTTACAAGTCAGAGTCCAAACTCCAAATTTTAAAGATGAGGAAACTGAGTCACACAGAGTGATTTGCTCAGGTTCATATAGCTAGTAAATGTCTAAGGAAGGATTTGAACACAGGTTTTCCTGATGCCAAATCCAATGTCCTAGCCACTATGCCATGCTGTCTGTCCAACAGGAAGGCACTGTAAACTTTTGAAATAGGTAACAACAGGGTAGAGACATTCTCCAATATCCATCCTGCCCTTTACTTCCTCAATTCTAAAAAACTATTGCCTCAGCTGATTTTGTACTTGAGGTTCAGAGATTCCTAATCAGTCTGGGGCACAGAGATGGTGTTGCTGTTCCTGTTTTCTGTGTAATTTTTACAGGGTTGCAAATTAATAGCTACATTAATTGTGCTGGCTTGGAAGCCATTCAGGTTTGTCAGCAGAACAAAAGGGGATTGTTGTAGAAGCTAAATAAGCATTTCATTAATCTAGTTATAAAGTGATATGGACCATGCCTACAAGGTTGGTGGCTGAATGGAAACTAAAGGATAAATCTTGGGAAATATTTCAAAGGAAGAAAATAGTAGGACTTAAAACAGACTGAACAAAAGGGACAAAAGATAGGGAGTATTCAAAATGAATCCCATTTTAAGACTGGTCTAGTGGTACCTCTAATCAGAAACACAGAATTTGAGACTGGAACTGAGGATGTAAATATAGGTTCAATTTTTCACATGTTGAGTTTCAGGAAACAATAGGAATCCAAGTAAAAATGTCTTAAAAGTAATTGAAAAGATAAGCCCGAAATATAGGTGAGGTAGCCAAGAGAGAAATATATCTTTTAGTTATCAGCATAGAAGTAATAGTTGAAGGCTTCCTATATCTCTGTAGAGAGAGATAAACAGAAGGCTAGTGATAAAGCCTTAAGGGATGCCTGAAATTAGAAGTCTGAAAAAATAAGAGAGTGAAAAGGAAAGAGACAGAGGTAAGAGAACTACAGCAGTACATGAGGAGGGACTTTCTTCTTTCCCAAATTAGCCTCACAGATATATTCTCAGATGTCACCAAAATTAGCCTAGCCTAGTACCCACTGCCCATCCCAACCTGAACAGTTAGAACCAGTTCCCTGACTTCTTCCAAACACCCAAAGAAAGAGACAAATAAGCATGAGCCTCCCCCTCAAGGGATCCCCATATGTCCCAGGAATAGGATACAACACATCTCCTGAGTACCAACACCAGAGCTGCTGACCCAGAGGTAGACACAAAAACTCACAAAGGGTCAGCTGAGGAAAGGATCCAAATATTGCAGGGGTAGGGCTCCTCCGGGTCCAAAGTTCTGCACAAGTATCTCAGCTACAGAATCTTACACAGTCTGTACCCTGCAAAATACCTTTTTCAGCATGCTGGGAAGAGGTGAGAGAGGGTGAAAGGGAGGAGCACAACAATGACATTATCAACGTCAGACCCTGCCAAAACAAGATTCTGATTAAAACCGATCTAATATGCTTTGACAGAAGCTAAAGAAAGCCTAGCTCCAGCTGTGTTACATAATGCCAGGACCTTTGTTCCTTCTTGACATGAAATTATAATGCCATACTACCTCTCAATTAACAGCTACAAATTCTTAAACCTCAGAACATATTTTGCTAGAAAGCTACTGGCTGTTAATGTTGGTTGATTAGTGGGTATAATTCTGACTGAACAAGAACTTCCTGTTACCTGAAGACCACCATGCTAAAAGGTTCTAACCCAACTGCAAGATAATGCCTTATTGCACAAAGAAATGAAGGTTTTAAACCAGTGTTCAACATGCCAAATAAAAGGTACATGAAGACTCAGAAAAGATGATCACTTCTGCAGGAAGAAAATCAGGGAAGACATTTAAAATAATTATTCTGAAAAATGTGGGGGGAAAGGTCCATGTGGAAGAGGTTAAGAAGAGAATGGAAATGGAAGCCTTTAGGGAAAGGTTGAAGAGATGGCAGTGAAAGCAATGAAAGAAAGGGAAGAACTTTCAACAGGGAAAGAAGGAAGATGACAGAAAGTGAGACAAGAATCCGAAGGTCAAGAAGGCAGGAAGGGATGGGAATTATAGGAAGAGTTCAGTTTAAAGAAGATAAGCAACACCTCTTCCCACACCAGAGGAAAGTACAAAAGAAGCATAGATAAGGAGAAAGCCATTATTCTCGTCATAAGTTATCTTCAAAAATGTGAAGGGCTATTATGTGGCAGAAGGATTAGGCTTATATTTTTATATATGGTAAAACAAGATCAGAGTGGGAATCATAGGGAAGAAGATTTCAGCACAATATAAAGGATTCTCTAGTAATTACAATGGAATAGGCAAAGGAGTGAGATCTTTGTCCCTAGAAGTGTTCACTTGTCAGGAATATTACAGAAGAGATACTTGCATTGGGTGAGGAATTAAAGTGACTTCTAAGGTGACTCCCAATTCTAAGCTTCCATACTTTGGGGGGTAAATGGCACCAATCATTTCCACAGGCCTAAGAAAGGCTATAGACAACCTAATCAACTTTTCTAATATTATACCCCTTATGATTTACCTATCCTGCCTCCCATTTCCCTGGGGTATTTTTTGTTTTTATTTTCCACTTACTTGAACAAGTGCATCTTGAGGTTCCACTCTCTACCATCCATGGCTCTTTTCCTTTTTCTAACTGGGAAATCATATTTGGTTTGGAAATGTGATGCCCTGATCAAAAAGAAAGACACAGAAATGGGATGTTCGTATTGGAACAAAGAATAATTGCAGAGTTCATTTCCAGTTTTTCTTCTTAAGGATGCTGAAGAATAAAAGCAGTAAAACATCACAGACACACAAAGTAGCTTCCCATTTTAATTTCCATATAATAAAGGCCTTTCATCTCTTAACCAAAAATAATGTCACAATCTGACAAAAGGTAACTTTTAATTTCTTTAACTAAAGCCTAAACTCAGTGAGCATTTTAGAAGTTTCACATATTTTAACAATTGGAGACATAAATGTACTTTATTTACAGTTTTTAAATATTAAATCAATATCTTACCCAATGAGACCAGGTTCCTATAGTTCTCCAGCATAACTTCCCTATATAGGTCCCTCTGACGAAGGTCCAGGTGCCTCCACTCCTCCCGGGTGAAGTTCACAGCAACATCCTTGAAAGTCAATGACTCCTGAAAAACCAAAGACATTTCTATTCAACCATCTCAAAAAACTCCCAAGTCTCAAAGAGAACTGAGGAGATCCAGAGGGCAGAATCAGAAGCAATATGTAGAAGTTGTAAAATGGCCAACTTAGGCTTGATGTCAGGAAAAACTTTCAATAATTAGAGCTGTCCAAAAGAGGAATGGGATGCCTTATGAAGTGGAGTTCTTTTGCTTTGCTTTTTTGGTGAGGTGATCTGGGTTAAATGACTTGCCCAGGGTCATACAGCTAGTGTCAAGTGTCTGAGGCTGGATTTGAACTCAGGTCCTCCTGACTCCAAGGCTGGAGTTCTATCCACCGCACCACCTAGCTTGTCCCAGAGGTGGAATTCTTCAAACAGAAATTGGATAACTACTTGTCAGATATGTTATTGTAAGGATTTCCTTCATGTAGAGGTTAATATAGGGGCCAATAAGGTCATACTGATTCTCAAATTCTATGACTCTGATTATATTTTAGTTTTGTTTTTTTAACATGAGCACCTGTATCTCAAGAGTGAACTTATAAGTACACATTTGTACGTGTTTTTCTTTTTGTACATCTATCTCAATTGGTGTAGTAACTGGGTATTTGGACTTTGAGTTCCTGAAATATCTGGAGACTTCATGAAACAAGAAAATCTGGTATTGAGGAGCAGGTAGGTGGCACAGTACCCAAAAGAGATCAAAGAATGAGGGAAATGTCCATTACATACAAAAATATAGCAGTTCTCTTTGTGGTGGGAAAAAATTAGAAACTAAGAAAACATACAATATTTAAGGAATGGTTAACTAAGTTGTTACTTAGTAATGGAGTACTATTATGCTTTGTAAGAAATAAGGAAACAGGGGCAGCTAGATGATGTAGTAGATAAAACTCTGGCCTTGGAGTCAGAGGGACCTGAGTTCAAATCTTGCCTCAGACACTTTGACACTTATTAGGTGTGTGACCCTGGGCAAGGCACTTAACCCGGACTGCCTCACCAAAAACAAAAAAGAAAAAGAAGAGATTAGGAAATACATGACTTCAAAAAGATATGGAAAAACTTACATGAACTGATGCAGAGTGAAGCAAGTAGAACCAGAATAATTTTTACTATAATATCAGTATTATAAAAATGAATATTGATGACTTTTATAAACTGAAAAAGAATGAAATGAGCAAAACCAGGAGAACAATTTATACAATAACACTACAAAAACAAACAACTCTGAAAGCTGTAAGAAATATGATCAATAAACTGGCCATTTGTGATTCCAGAGGACCAATGACGAAACATGCTACCCATTACAGAGAAGTGACAGATTTAGAATGCAGAACCAGACATGTATATTTTTGTTTACAGCCACTGGGTAATTTGTTTCGCTTGACTATGCACATTTGTTACAAGAAATTCGGTTATTTCTCATCTTTTTTTCCCAATGAGGTAGGGGTGGGAAGAAGAAAAATAGATTTCTGTTCATTTAAAGAAAGAAGGTTGGAAGGTAATACAGATGCACATACTTTCACATGAAGTCACTTTGTTAATAGTTTTACTTAACTTTTACCTTGTTAAAAAGGACCTCTCACAAAGCAAGAGAAATCTGTAAATGTATTTCATATAAAAACAAAATAAAGTTGAAAGTGACCAAAAATAAAAGAGAAATAGTAAGAAGGCTAGTTGAGTTGGACCATAGATTACATGAAGGGGAATAACATACAACAAGCCTAGAAGGTAAGCTGGAGACAGGTAAGAAAGGACTTCAAATGCCAAACAGAAAAGTCCATGTTTTATTTTAGAAGTAATAGGGAGCCTGTGTTTTCCTGGTGTTAATTGTTAGGCCAAAATTAGCACAAGCAGCAGGCAATCAATCCATACTTTGCTGTATGTCAGCTTCAGAGACTGCATTGAGTGCACAATCATCTGTGAACAAAAAATCATGTACTCTCCCTCCACTTTAGTCTTGGCTCTAGCCTTTTCAAGTTAAATAATTTACCATCAGTGCCATAGCTGACCTTGATGCCATATTCTTCCTCATTGAAAGCATTTGACAACATGGCTGAAAACATCATGCTAAAAAAGTGTGGGAGTAAGCATACAGCCTTGTTTCACTCCATTGGTGACTGGGAAAGCGTGAAAGCATTGGACCCCAACCTTGTAAATCTCAGCTGGAATAGAATAAGTGCCAGGTGCTTTGCCTCAGGAGAGAAGCCCAATGGCATTGAAAACCTCTTTGTCAGTTGGAAATCTGGCTAGAGAGGGATTGACTTCAACCTGAGGTAAATGGTCAATGGCTTCAGCATTGATTGATGATGGTCTGTTGAGAACATTATGGAAGTGTTCATCCCATCTCTCCAGAACCATATCATTCATACATGGAACCATCAATTACAGCAAATGGAGAAGTGTTGAATACTATGGATAAGTTCTCTTATCTTGGCAATATACTTTCTAGGAACATACAAACTGATAATAAACTTGATGCACACATTGCCAGAGCTAGCTCAGTGTTTGGGAAGCTCCAAAGCAAAGTGTAGGAGAGAAGAAATATTAGAATGACTACCAAACTGAAGGTCTACAGAGCCGTGGTACTGACTTCATTGTTGTATGCCTTTGAAAACTGAACAATATACCAGTGCCTGGAGAGGAAACTGAATCGCTTCTAACTAAATTGTCTCAGGAAGATCCTGAAGATTACCTATCAGGATAACATACCAGACACTGAGGTCCTTTCTCAAACTAAACTGCCAAGCATTCAAACTCTACTGCAAAGATCACAATTCTGACAGGCTGGCCATATTATTCAAATACCAAACATACACTTGCCTAAGAGACTATTTTATGGAGAACTCGCACAAGGTGCTCACATGGTGGCCAGAAGAAGTGATACAAGGACACTCTCAAGGTCTCTCTTAAGAACTTTGGAACTGATTGCATGACATGGGAGATACCAGCACAGGACCACCCAGCATGGCATGCCCTCATCAGAGAAGGTGTTGTGCTCTATGAGCAAAGCAAAATTGAAGTATATTAAAAGAAACTCAAGATGCACAAATTTAGAGAATCTACCCCAAATGTTTCCAAGATATACTCCAAAATTTTAAGTTAGTATTTAAGGCCCTCCACAATCTGGCCTTATCCTACAGAATTACTAGGTTAACTGGAAAACTCTATTACACAAAAATATTCTAGTCTCCTGGAGGAGCACAATTTGGGCTCATGTTCCTGGATAGAATTTTGCTAAGGAGAAGGGAAGAAAATGTTTTTACCTTCTGGAAACTCAGAATTCCTAGGATAAGGGAAAGAAACTCTCAACTCACCTGGGCTCTGGCTCTTGACAGGCCAGATATTAATCTTCCCAGCTCCTCTGTGGGCTTCTCTTGGAGAGACACAAAATCTTGAATAGGGAGATCTGGCAAAGAAAAGCGAACCATGAAGACAAAAACATCCCATCCCACAGCTTCCAAAATCTAGAAATCATCACATCTTATTTCAATGTAACTCTCACACTCGTTAGAAGTAGGTCAAAGAGAACCTTTGCCACATCTATATCTAGAATCAGAGAAAGGTGATAGTATCCATGTATCCTAGCATGTTTCAGGGCATATAATCTGGGAGTAATTGCACATAGCTTGAATTCACAGCTTTATCACCACATGCTTTGCGATTCGAATATGTAACCCAACCACTTCACTGTTTCATTCAATGAAATAAATTACTCTAATCCCTTTACCTGGCTCAGAGAATGTGTGAGGAAATAATCTGTTGAGTTCTTTTGGGAACTAGAAGCTCCTATATCAAATTAATCAAGCGATTAACAAGTATCTGTTAAGCACCTAACCTGTGCCTGGCACTGTCCTAGTTACTCAGATCCAAAGACAAACTATTCAAACAGTCCTTGCTCTCCTAGAGTTCTATCACTGTAAATTAATTCTATCAAATGGAAATTAATTTGACTATCAGAGGAGTAATATGGAAAGACTTACAGGGGACCTTAGAGATCACGAAGTCCAACTATATCACATTACAGTTGAGTAATTACAACTTGTTCAAGGTCTCAAAGCTAGTAAATAGAACAGCTTAGCTTTCTGAACCCATGTCCTCTTACTCTAGATTAAGCACTCTTTCTATCGTTTTACTTCTGTCCTAATTTTGCTGTCAAATAACTACGGAATGTTGAACAATTAATTTGACCTGAGTCTTAGGTTTCTATTACACAAACAAAGATGATAGTAAGCCTTAGGAAATAAGAGTTAAAAGAGAGTAAGTTGATTGGAACATTTCTTATCATAGGAGCGGACAAAAGAGAATAGTCTCTGCTCCACGGGTTCTACAAAAAGTTGAGTTGGCGCATCTCAATGCCCCATGCAATTCTTTTAAGACTATAAAGTTACAGATGGGCTGCCAATCCACATCTCTGGAAGAAATTTACAAAATAGAAAATTCTCCATATTCATGAAATTACAGGTCTGGAAAAAAAAGTAGACATATACATATATAATGACTATAATGGTCTTCCCCCCCATAATTAATTAATAGCACATTTTATTATATACTGAGGACATTATCTCCTAACCCAGACTCTCCCTTGAATCACAGGATATCTAAAGGGAAAAGGAAGGTGAGGAGGATAGAGCTAGGTGGAGTACCACAAACATTCAATCAGGTACAGGTACCTACTGAAAGTTGAGACTGCCAATTCTCAAGAAAGAATTAGTTCAGTTTGAGTCCAAAACCTGCACACTGAAAACATCAATTTTAATGATTTTGTGCATCAGGTTTTTATTTTCTAATTCCTCTAAAAAACCATATCCTCTCAACTAGAGGAAGGGGGAAAAGTATTTTTCACTTGATCTTAGCCAAAAGGCCAAGAAGTAATTTTTTTAAAAAGTATTTTTCCACAGCTACAGCAGAAGTAGCTCTAGAATCCGGGGACAGAGGTGGCAGTGGGTTCCAACTCGGAACCCAGAAAATACCAAAGAGTTAGGATATACAAGTGTGTGTGATGTAAGAGAGGAAAGCAGTGGTAATCAGCCACTAGTACTGTTCCGTTCCCAGAGTCTATTCCCTCCCAAGGACTCTCTCATCCCTCTGTAAATTCTCACCTCTCTCCCCAAGTGCCTTGGCCAAACTCTTCATGGTCACCGCTTGCTTCCCAGCTGTTTGCAGGAAATGAAGACTCCTGGAGTCCTGGAAGAATGATCAGGCCTTACTTCAGCAGAGACAGCACGGGCCCCACTCCGCTCCGCTTGGGGCCACGGGATGTGAACTTCCTATGGCCGGGGGCAGTCACACGTGCTCAGGGAGGGGGGTGGGGTGGAGAGGCGGGGACAACTGGAAACAGCGCTTTTTTCTTAGGCGCCAACTCCCACCAGGACCCAGCCGTCGCGGGGGAGGGGGGGAGGCTGCTGTCAATTACTGGGGGCTGACAGAGGCCCTCGGCTCCCTGCGGGGACACACAAAGAGGCCCAGTACGAGAAGCCTCCTAGCCTCCCCACCACAGACACTCGTACCCGAGGCTCTTGCGTCGCCCGCCCCGCCCCCACCCTGGTGACAGTCTAGAATCTGCTCTTGGCACGTCGGTATTTATTTGCACGCCCCCTCCCCCTCACTCACACACACACACACACACAAACAGTGCAGGCCAGGCCTGCCTTTGCATTTCTCTTGCGTCCCCGGCGCTCGGCCGAGAGCATCGCACACCGGAGGCGCCGGATAAATGCTTGTAGACAGGCAGGTGAAAAGCTCGCGTGCGCACGCATGTACACACACAGCACACACAAGCATACACACGCGCGCGCGCACACACACACACACACCTCACCACCACCACCACAACCCCCCTGTCTCCCGCGTGCCCCGAGGAGGCCCGGCACTGGCCCGGGCGGCTCCGCGGCCGGGGGCGGGGAGGCCCCTCCTCCCTCTTCGGGCTCTCACCCTCCCTCCGGGGCTCTGGGCTCTAGCCAGCCTGGCCGCAACAAGCGCGAGGGTCGCGGGTCCCGGGACGGGAATAGCGGCGAGGAGCGGAAGGGAACACAAAGGGGCGGCAAGTGCAGGCCCACCGAGACCTCGCGTGCGCCTGCGCCGCCACCTGTCACCAGCCCGGACTGCGTTTCCTAGAGAAGCCTGCAAGGCGCCGTCCAGTCCCGAAAGGGTTTGAGGATCCCCGCGGCTCCGACCCAACGGGGTTTTGTGGATGGGTTTGTGGGAAATGAAGCCAGGTCTCAGGGATAAACCGCAGCTCGAAGGATTCTGGGAATTGTAGTCTGGAGGCGCTGTCTCCTTCCGCACTCTGAGCAATATCACTTTTCAAGCAACTGAAGGGTGTGAATCATCAAATCCTACAACCTTTTTTCTGTCCACATCCTCCCTGACCTCTCTGTAGTACGTGACACCACCTGCCTTATGATATCAAGTGAGTCAGTCGTAGATTTAGGGCTGGAAGGGACCTCGGAGGCTTCTATGCCAACTCACTCCTTTTACAGAAGAGAAAACTGAAGTTCAGGGAGGTTTGGCGATTTTCCCAAGATCCCACAAGCAGTGTCAGAGATTGAATTTGAATACAGGTACTGTATTTCTGTACTAGCACCTCGTTTGACACCTTCTCCGTCCTTCGTATAAAATTTAACATGTTCACTAAAACTCTCGGGTCTTTTTCATATGAATTATGGTCTAGTCACTATTGTCCTTTAGTTGGTTCTAAAATTGCACAAGCATAGCAATGACTAGATACTTTTTCCAACGAAAAATCTTAAGTGGAGCCCTCAAACCATCCCCAAGATTGATGGATCAGAGTCTCAAAGTTATATCAGAGATGCAGCCTTAAGCTACTTAGGGTGGGTGGCCTTATCATCCCAGATTCACCTAATATAGAAAGAATAACACACTCAGAGAGGAAATACCAAACTTGTCCAGAATAGTTAAGATGCCTAAAGGATAATCCTAGAAAGTTCTCCTGACCATTCTCCCAGAGATGGCATTCTAGAGGAAATGTACAGTTAATATACCCAAGGCGGAAAAATCTCAGGCAATACTAACAACACAGCTGTGCTTTTCATAAACCTCAGTGGCTTAGCTGGGTCCAAAGCATGTTCCAAAGGCAATTAATGGCACTGAGGCTCCACAACAGTGACCAGCTTTGAAAGAAATCCATTATTAGTCATGCTTAAATGCTCCCACAATACCACAATGATAAAAACAAAGCTCACTTGTTTCTTGAAAGCATTGATGCAGCTTACAGTTCTAAGTCTCCCCATTTGCCACCTCTTCCCATCCCTACCCAGTGTAATAACAAACAAAAACACCTAGGGATGTTAGAGGATTGCACATTCAACAATCTGACATAGCACTTGAAAAAGCTAATATAAACTTGGCTGTATTGAGATCCATGGTATCCAGAATGGAAAGCTAGTCCTTAATTGTACTCTGCCCTGGGTAGACCATACCTAGAAAACTGTCTTCAGGTCTGCAAGCCACATTTTAAGAAGGACTCTGACGAGTAGCAGTCACCTAGAAGAAGACAACTATAACAGTGAGAGGGTTTGAAACCATATCACGAGATAATCAGTTGAAAGAAACAGGCATGTTCAGCTTGAAGAAAATATATAGTAGGAATATAACTATCTCTGAGTATGTGAAGAGCTGCTAGATGGAAGACCAAATAGCCTGGTATCATAGTAATTGGATTTTAAATGAAAAACCTTGATTCAAATCCAGCTCTGCTTACTTTATACCTTTGTGTTCCTTTGCAAAGGACCGAACATCTTCAGACCCCATTTTATTGGACAAAACAAGATGATTGGATTAGGTAACCAATAAAATCACCTTTACCTTGAAGCAGTATGATCCTATAAATCTGTAAGTATTTGAAGAATAGTCATGTAAAAAGATAATATTTCTTTATGGTCACAGAGAGTAGTATTAGGAGAAAAGGGTAGAAGTTGCAGGGATAAAGCCATTCTGGAAGGGGCTACCTTAGGAGGAAGTGAATTCCCCATCACAGGAGGTCAAGCGAAAGCTGAATAACTACATATACAGTATTTTGTAATGGAGCTTCCTCTACAGGTGAAGGTTTGTCTAGTTCATTCCAGAAGTCCCCTCAAACTTGGCAATTCTGTGATCCTGCAGGAAAATTGAGGTTGGTATCAATAGGCAAAGGTAACAGCAGTCCTGATTATCAACCCTCATTATCTCCTTTACTCCAGTCTCTGAAAGATAGCCCTTCTCTCTAAGGTGAACCATTCTACATGTACCCTTATGCCCTCCTACTTTCTCCAGAAAATTGCCCCCACAATCAACCCCTTCCTCTTTGATTTTCAGTCTCTCACCATCTACTGATTTCTTCTTTTTTGCTTCTAAATCCTTCCCCATTCTTAAAAAAAATCCTCAGTTGACTCTGCCATTCCTTTAAATTGACCATATCAATAATGAAACTAACAGAAATCATATGATTATTTCAGATGCAGAAAAAGCTTTTAACAAAATACAGCACCCACCCCTATTAAAAACACTAGAGAGCATAGGAATAAATGGAGTTTTCCTTAAAATGATACTATCTATTTAAAACCATCCATTAGCAAGCATTATCTGTGTTGGGGATAAATTAGATAAATTAGAAGCCTTCCCAGTAAGATCAGAGATGAAATAAGGATATCCATTATCACCACTATTATTCAATATTATACTAGAAATTTTAGCTACAGCAATAAGAGAAGAAAAAGAAATAGAAGGAATTAGAACAGGAATTGAGGAAACAAAACTATAATTCTTTGCATATGATATGATGGTATACTTAGAGAATCAACTAAAAAATTACTTGAAATAATTAACAATTTTAGTAAAGTTGCAGGATACGGAATAAATCCACATAAATCATAACGATTTCTATATATTACCAACAAGATCCAGCAGCAAGAGATAGAAAGAGAAATTCCATTTAAAATATTTGTGGACAATATAAAATACTTGGAAGTCTACCTGCCAAGACAAACCCAGAAAGTATATGAACACAATTACAAAACACTTTTCACACAAATAGTCAGATATTAACTATTAGAAAAATATTAATTGTTCATGAGTAGGCTAAGCCATAATAAAAGTGACAATTCTATCTAAATTAATCTACTTATTCAGTGTCATACCAAACTACCAAAAAATTATTTTATAGAGCTAGAAAAAAATAATAACAAAATTCATCTGGAAGAACAAAAGGTGAGGAATTTCAGGAGAATTTTTTTTTATTAAATTCAAAGGAAGGTGGCCTCATCCTAACAGGTCTAAAATTATATTACAAAGCAGCAATCATCAAAATTATTTGGTACTGGCTAAGAAATAGATGGGGATCAGCAAAATATGTTAGGTACACAAGACAGTAGTCAATGACTATAGTAATCTACTGTTTGATAAGCCCACTATTTGACAAAAACTGCTAGAAAATCTGGAAAATAGTGTGGCAGAAACTAGACATAGACCAATATCTCGCACCTTTATCAAGATAAGGTCAAAACGGGTACTTGAATTAGACATAAAGGGTGATACCATAAGCGAATTAAGGGAGCATGGAATGGTTTACCTGTCAGATTGAGGGAGAAGGGAAGAATTTATAACCAAACAAGAGATAGAGAACATCATAAAATGTAAAATGGGTAATTTTGATGACATTAAATTAAAAAAGTTTTACACAAACAAAACTAATGCGACCAAGATTAGAAGGAAAGCAGAAAGTTAGGAAACAACTTTTACAGACAATGTTTCTAATAAAGACCTCATTTCTAAACTATATAGAGAAGTGAGTGAAATTTATAAGAATACAAGTCATTCCCCAATTGATAAATAGTCAAAGGTTATGAACAGGCAATTTTCAGAGGAAGAAATTAAAGCTATCTATAGTCATATGAAAAAAATGCTCTAAATCACTATTGATTAGAGAAATGCAAATTAAAACAACTTTGAGGAACTACACACCTATCGATTAGCTAATATGACAAAAAAGGAAAATGATAAATGTTGGAGAAAATGTGGGAAAATTGGAACACTAACGTATTGTTGGTGGAGTTGTAAACTGATGCAACCATTCTGGAGAGCAATTTGGAACCATGCCCAAATGGCTATAAAATTGTGCATATACTTGGATCCAGCAATATCGTTATTAGGTCTATTCCAAAATCATAAAAAGGGAAAAGGACCCACATGTACAAAAATATTTATAGCAGCTCTTTTAGTGGTGGCAAAGAATTGGAAATTGAAGAGATGCCCATCAATTGGGAAACGGATGAACAGGTTGTGGTATATGAATGTAATAGAATACTGTTGTTCTATAAGAAATGGTGAGCAGGCAGATTTCAGAAAAACCTGGAAAGACTTACATGAACTGATGCTGAGTGAAGTGAGCAGAACCAGTAGAACACTGTACACAGGAACAGCAACACTGAGTGATGATCAACTATGATAGACTTAGCTCTTCTCAGCAGTACAATGATCCAAGACAATTCCAATAGACTCATGACTGAAAATGCTACACGCACCCAGAGAAAGAACTAAGGAGTCTCAATGTAAATCAAAGCATACTATGTGTACTTTTTTTGGTTTTTGTTTTTTCTTTCTCATGGTTTTTCTCTTTTGTTCTGATTTTTCTTTTGCAACATGACTAATGTGGAAATATGTTTACCATGATTGTATATGTATAACCTATGCCAGATTGCTTGCTGTCTTGGGGAGGGGGAAGGGAGAGAGAGAGCGAGGGAGAAAAATTTGGAACTCAAAATCTTATAAAAATGAATATTGAAAACTATTTTTACATGTAATTGGAAAAAATAAAATACTATTATGTGGGAAGAAAAGAAAAGAAAAAGAAAAATTACATTTTAATAAAACTATTTTATGTTTAAAAAAAAGAAAAAGCAATCTTGCTCAATACTTTTTTTCATTAAATTGTATTTTATTTTCAAAGATCAGCCTTCCAAGTTCCCTCCCTCCCTCCACTGAGAAAGCAAGAAAAACAAAAGCCCTATTATAACATGTATAGTCAAGCAAAATAAAATTTCTCACTGATCATTTCTAAAAACAATACCTCAGTTTGCACTCTGATTCCATCACTTCTCTGTCAAGAGGTGGGTAGCATGTTTCATCATCAATCTTCAGGAATTATGGCTATCATTGTGTTGATCAAAGTTCTCGAGTTTTCATATGTACATTATACATATAATGTTAATATTTTTATAGTATGATACACGTATTGTTTTAATCAGCCA